CTGATTTAAACTTTTCCTAAAATGTTGATATAACCTAGATTTTTAGGAGTTTTTTCGAATGAGCTATCAAAAAATATAGAGTCCCGTGCAAAATTTGAGGGTTTTGCCCTGTTGAAGCTGAAAACGCGTATAGTTCTTCAATAAAATCTTGTAGATTTTTCAGCGGTTTTTGAGCGCGCGCTCATCGTGGGCTCAAATCGAACGTTCAAAAGTAGGCAGCCACCTTAAATACACCAGTGAGCTTTTAATAAAAAAGTACTATAAACTCGACACGTTTTCATTGTAAAATATGTTCTTTTTACTGTCATACTGTTGTACTAATATCACTAATTTATTATATAGATATCGATGAAATACCAGGTTTTCTCTAGTGTCGAAACCTTGATATCTTTCACCAGTGGAAGATAGCATATCTTTCACACGTGAAGATATCGCTGTTGACATAGTAACGTATTTTAATAAAGAATTTTTGAGCTTTTGTTTTATTTAAGTTTCATCGATATCTATATAATAAACAGAACATTACATGGCCGCTTGGAGATACGAATTTTATCTTCTCGTGTTCAATTTAGATATCTCACTGTTTCGCTGCGCTCACTCGTGAGATATCAATTGAACACTCGAAGATAAAATTCGTATCTCCGCGCGCCCATGTAATATCCTCTATATATTACATTGCTCCTTACCTTTCTAGCAAGATATTTAGTTGGTGATCTTCAAGGAAGTAATGAAAATCAAAGAGGATCTGTTGCAGCTCTTTTCTAGATATGTAACCATCTCTGTTTGTGTCTACTGCTTCAAATGCTTTGCGCAGGCTTTCGTATCCATCCCGGAAGCGATCCCTATAACATACAATTTTAGGTTCAGGTAGTATCTTATTTTGGAAGGATTTTTTTCTATATGGAATAAATCATCTTCCCTCTTCCATGATTCTTCCTAGACAGAGCAGTTTTCGTATGACTGTGCGGTGCCATAAGCGCGCCACCGCGATGTTTTCTATAATTTTAATTGACTGGGTTTTTTTTTGGTTTTTTTGTTGTCGTACAATGCGATTGGTCTGACAGTACCGTGACTTTGGCGTGACCTTGGCGTGACCATGTCCTGCTGTGTTCATGCCGTGTTTCGGGCATTTGATTGGATAGAGAATAAATTCTCGAGCAATGTGATTGGTCTGTCATATTCATTGGCGTGTCACGACGGTATTCGTGCCGTGACCTATTCACAGTCATACAAAAACTGCTTTATAACGTGAACTTTTTTGTATTTATATATTTTATATATTTACCTAAGTCTCTGCTCAACTTCAAGGGCCGATAAGAAAGACACCGCGTATGCTTGGTTATTGGTCGCGTTCTCGTGGATAGCCTACAAACATGAAACATCAGATCAGCACATCTTAAATAGATGCGCCAGCAATTGCGTCGTTGGATACTTTGGTGTTTCTAAATGGCGCCTTGTACTGAATTGTGGACGAATTCCTGAGATTTCTGCGCGCTAAAATCCGTCAAAATCAAACTATATATGATAGTTATGATCTTAGGTATTTGTTACCAATAGTCAATGATGTTGCTCACTTTTTTGCAAACTTCATGAGAGTGCTGCGCATCAGAATCAAGTTATAAATCATGGTAATGATCTTAGGTCATCTTTGTTATCAATACTCGATGATGTTGCGCGATGTTTCCCGCAGTTTTTTAGAGGTATTTAGAGACATTTAGCATCGGGTTTCCCGCTAACCGCTAGGAATCAGACCCAGAAACACGCCCGCAAACACGGAGAAACACTCGGCATCAGTGAAATTAAAAGGGCGGCTCTTCCAACAACAAATTCGTTATGACGCCTTGCTAAATATTGAAAGTTTGAAGCAAAACGCCTGACGTCGAACTGCAGTTTGAAATTTGCGGTACCTAGCAAGAACTTCGTGCTAAAGGCCTCTATTTTTTTTAATTCACCTTCTGCGCATCGTGGAATCTCTGCATTTCCTGATGACTACCATGAGTGATCTGAGTACTGGGGCCGTGTGTGTCTCCAGGGACAAACTCTCCTCCAAGACGAGCGATGAATTCACGATGATCAACGTAACCATTGTTATCAGTGTCATACCTAGAAACGGTAACATCAAAGTGTCAAAGAAATACAATTTGAATGTCGGCGCTCCCCCCCCCCCCCCCCTTCCTACCATTATTTCAGTAAAAACTTCAACTCCCATGTGTCTAATAGCCTTTCAGAGGATAAGGAAAAAACTGGATCGCGTTGGTATTGAAGCATAGTTTTGGGCTGCCTTAGAGGACGGAATAGACACAATCTTTGTAAATGTCCCCCAAAACAGTCCCACAGTGCACTACCATGCCATCCTGATCAAGTTATCCTCTCAACCTTGATATAGCTTATACTTCTACTTACTTTGCCCATAGTTTTTTGAATTCTACTTTCGTCAGGGGGATCTGGTACCGATAGAGGACTGTTCGTAATTCCTTCTTGGTTACAATCCCATTGCCATCACGGTCAAAGGTAAGGAACGCCTTGGTGATATCGTCCATTTGTTCTACAACCTTTCTTTTTAGTATGCGATCTGCTTCGTCGGCACTCAAGTACTGTAGATCTTTAGTTTCGTTGAAGCTTAAAAAATAAAAAAGAGTAACATGATGTGTGCCTCGATAGTTGATTAGAATAAGCATAACCACACTTAGTCCTTATAATCTTTAAGAACAAATCGGGTGGGTGGCTATCTACATAAAGTGAATAGTTTAATGATAAAATATTTCTTTATCTGAATATTGAGTTTTAGCATATACCAACTTGTGTACTTCCTAAGAACGCGCGCGCTCATTGGTTAATAGGAGGTGAATATTGTACGATATTCACCTCTGAATCTCGGAATATTGAGTCGGCAACAAGATGGCATCTGCCGGCAATCGTTTTGCTTCAATTTCCGATGAGGAAATTGAAAAAATGAAAGTAAATGCCATTCCTATCAATACTAAAAAGGCAACGAAGTATGGCCTAAAAGTTTTGCTAAAAGTTTTGCTGAAAGTTATGCGTGAATTTGTCACGCAAACTAAAAGTTTCTGTTTGTTTGTTTTTATTGAATTATTGTACATAGAAATAAGTTACTCTGTACACAAGTTGGTATATGCTAAAACAATTATTCGCCTCAGGCTCAGTGAATATGGAGAATATTTACCTCGCCGCTCGAAGACTCGCGTCTTGGTAAATATTCCCCGATACTCACTTGGCCTTCGGCAAATAATTGCTAAATATACTTCCGATATGTTACTGTCCGTGCCGTCACCCAAGGCTTTTGAGTGTATTTGTTTTTATTTTCAAACCTAAACGCTAGGGATTATGAGACATCATCATAATCTAATTAAAAACTTACAAATGATTAGAGTATAGCCATGGATGACCCTCTTCAATCTTCTCCACGTGTTCGAACCTCTTCAAGAACTCTCTGTAGTTTAGTTTATCGCCTTTCTTCATGTTCAATCGGTCCATCAGCTTGTCGAACTCTTCATCAGATAGCAAAAACATCAAAGAATCCAAAATACGACGGAACTCTTTTCTCGTGATGAGGCCATTCTTGTCGAAGTCGATTTTTTGGAAAGCTTCTCGAAGGTCCTATAATATTAAGAGGAAATACCAAAAATCCTTAARTTATATATAATTTCTTAATATTGATGAGATGGCTGAAGAGCAAGAAAAAGTGATCGAGCCTCTGGTTTGCCATTTAACCATTAAAAAAAAATCAAAATCAAAATTCAATAGTAGGTTTGGTGTGCTAATATAATAAATGTATTACGAGGAAATGTTTTTTCAATGAGCAATAATGGCAAAAAGCGCCAAAAACTAGACTTTCGTATGAGTTTTGATCCCAATTTTCGTTTTGGGTTAACACTTAAAACCTGTTTGAAGCGGTATTTTCAATTGTACAAAGATGTTTTGTTGCATTTGTGTTAGAATGTTGCATTGTCAGGCTTTTTCATATCAAATATATGGGGAATAAGCAAATGAAGGCCTAAACCTCATTTTCGATCATTCAATTTTTTGCGTTGGGTTAACACTTTGATTCCACCTTTATCGGTCATCTCCACTTCCAAACAAGTTTCTGAATAACAAGATTTTAGCCTTGTACAACAGCCTTTCTTCAAGAAAATAGTTTTTGGCGCTCACTGCTTGAATACGAAAGGAATTCTCTCTTAATAAAAACTTCCTTACGGCATATCCATCGCGCAGTTTCGTCCTTAGTTTAGCTTCTACTTCCTCAGCTGTCATTGATTGTTCTAAAGGGGTTGGCTGGTTATGCCTTGAATAAAAAAGGAGGGAAAATAAATGAATAGGATAAATAATGACAATGACACCCTTAATGTGGTGTCTTGTGGAAAGCATGGCAGTACTACATCTGGTCAAGAAACGTTTGTGCGTCCATGAAGTGGTTATGACTATGGAAATTAAGGGTGAAGGTAGTCCAATAGACCCCTTCACGGTTACCTGCGCCATCTTGAAAGGTAGCCGTGCCTTTGCATCGAAGCTAGAGAAACGGTGAGCTTGCAATGATAGAGAGCTGTGAATAATTGTCCAAGGTGTTAAAAAAAGGTCTCTTTCATTGCAAGGTCACCGTTCGTCTCGCTTCGATGCCAAGGCACCTTTCAAGATGGCGCAGGGAACCGTGAAGGGGTGTATTAGATGTGAATATTTTTTGGGGGGCTAAAAGTTTATAAACGAAAAGAATAACTAGAAGAACAATACATATTAGTCCCTAGGGTTTACAGTACTTCATTAATGGTATTAGTCCCTAGGGCTTTAAAGTATTCACTGTAATGTAACACTTATAGAGAGTCATTAGCTGATGATGGACGATGGATATCGTCCGAAATATCTACTCAAGAAACTTCTAGTTATTCTTTTCGTTTATAGTCCAATTAGCCTCAGAAAACAGATGTGCCTTTCGCTCCCCGTTAGTGTGCCCTGGCTTTGATCAGCCCAGAGGTTGTTTCAGGGTTCTATCTGTGAGTTAGCCATGCCCTGACTTTGAACAGCCCAGAGTTTGTCTCAGGGTTCGATATGTGAGTTAGCCGTGCCCTGACTTAGATCAGCCCAGAGGTTGTTTTAGGGTTCGATCTGTGAGTTAGCCATGCTCTGACTTCGATCAGCCCAGAGGTTGTTTCAGGGTTCAATCTGT